TAAAAGCTTCAGGAGGCTTGAAACTTCAAAATGAAAGAGGAGAGTCTTAAAAGTGGGACAGTTTAGAGACCCATTCAGAGGGAGAGGAGCGTTGAGAAACAGAGGCTCAGTCAACAGACGTTTCAGTGGAGTGGCTCACGTGTGAAGGTTCTTCTCCGGTCAGCGCGCCGGCCGTCCCCCTTCATGGAACACGGCAACTGAGCAGGGGAGACTGTCCGACTCAGGCCGGAACTCGCATCTTAGGAAACCTGCTCCTGCTGCCTACATAAATCCTTGGTATTTGAAAAGAACAGGACCATTCCGGGCTCTCTCCATCCTCTGACTCTTCGAGAAGAGGCAGGGCTACTGGAGAGATGCCTCCAGGAAGGGAGGCTGGAGTGGTTTTCTCGTTGCCTGGTTTGCATCTTGCTTGCCTAGGAGGGGAAAGGCGACTGCCCATCCCCTCCCAAGGCCCTTCTCAATACCCTAGACGTGGGGTCAACTGGCCGAGAGCAAACTGTCCCCGTGGGGGTTGAGCTGGCAGGCTCCCTGTTTGTAAATATCTCTGCGTTTCACAGGAGGCTTCCCACTCCAAACCACGGCAATGAGAGAGGAGTCTCGAAAGCTGAAGAGTTTATAGACAGATACAGAGAGACTGGAAGGGAGACGCCATCTCTGGACTCGGTTGTCTGGAGAGAGGGAGGCCGACTCATGGGGAGGTTTCCAGAGAGGGCCGAAGTGCGCAGATGGTAAAGCCATCAAGGGGTGCCAGGGCCTGAGATCCGCACAATGGGTGCCCTTGTGTGCCGTTCGAGGACCTTCATGTTTGTGTGTTTGTGATCTCTGTCCCCCCTGCAACCCCAAGCTGGGGTCTGCTAAGAAAAATAACCTGGCTCGCAAAAAGGCATTCTTCCAGCTCCACTTGAAAGTTTGAAAAACGCTTGGATAGGAAAATAAGCTCAGGGAGCCAAGGCTTTCTGCGCTTGGCGATGCCCTAGACCCAAAATACACATAAGAACACTTTGCTTTGAAAGGCCTGCAGTATTCCTATCTGAGTCATCTGAAAACAAATAAAAAGAGACCTAAACAAACAAACCTAATTGTGCACGGAAACACGGCCAGGTTTCCAGCCTGGCTTCCCCTCTGTTTTCATTAGTCAGAAGCCAATACATGCAGCTTTCATGGTATCCAGAACAAGCGAAATATTAAAAACAAATTGCCGAGGTTTCTCCTCCTTCCCGCCTTCCTTCATGGTGCGCTGCACAGGCCAAGCTCCTGACTTCTCTCTGCCTTGGTTTCAAACCTCTTTCCTTCAGTCTTGATGGACAGCCGCCTGCTTGCCAGACTGCCCAGAGTCAGCCAGCTACTCGTTGACAGTGTCATTCGTGAACAGCAGCGATTACTGGGCCCTCAGATGAAATTTAAAAAGACATGTCTAGGGTCTTGAGATGTTATAGTTTTTACCAATTGTCAATGCAACTGGTTTGAAAGTCAGGCCTGGCAACCCAAATTCAGTTAGTCTAGACCTGTCCATTGCTCTTTGCCAGCACCCTACCAGCTGCTTCTCTTTTTCGCTCGTATTTATTTCCCCATTAAGTAGGCATTCCATTGTAATAAACGTCTCTTGATTTTGCCCAATCATTTTCCTGTCTGTTAATACTGTCTAATTTTTCTTTGGAGAATCAATCTTCCTCCCAAATTTTAGTCCCTGCAGTTTGGTTGGAGTTTGCCTCACCCACCATGCTTCAGGAGTGTGTGATCAAGGCCTGGCCAGTTAGAGACATCAAAATTGGTGCAGGGATGGACACAAAATCCAGTTTAGGCCATTGAGACACAAGCCTGAGACTTTTGCAAAGACTCTTGGGAAAAAAGCACACTTATTTCTCCAAGGTGGTTAAGCTGGCAGAATTAAGTCTGAAGTTGCTGGTGGTCACAATGACACCATATGGGGAGAGCTTGTCTGACAAGAAGAAGAGCAGAGCTGAGTGACAGAGAGGGATAAGAACTTACACAACATCATCTGAGCACCTGGATCCAGCCATGACTGAAGATTACTCTACCCTGGACTTTTCTGTTATATGAACAACTAAAACCCCCATTTTGTTTAAGCCATTTTTAGTTGGGTTGTTATATCTTGAAACTGAAAGAGTCCTAAAACACACAGGTGTACACACGCACCTCCCAAAAGGCCATGTGAAATTAAATTTTTGTGTCTTCCAAGTGGACTATTACTCATTTTTTTTGTTTCTGGGCATGATCTTCTCAAGAAGAAGTTTTTATGGGTGAATTTCAGTTTCCGTTAAATGTCACAGGGAAGGCCAGAAGACAATCTACTTTAGCCTTGAATCCTGAGAGAAGTTGCCTCTGGCCCTCGTGGCATGGTAAGAGATTAATGATTTCTCTCACCTAACCCATTTGACACAAAGAGCAAAATAATGTAGTAATTACTGAGGGGTTTCTTTGCACTCTGGCTGGTTCTGGTGACCAGTTCCAGGCATGCTGTTCTGTGAGGCCAGGGGGACATCTAAGTGCCAAGATTAGTCGTGATCCAAACCATGTGAAAACCAACAACAAACCCTTGCTAAACACAAACCACGGTGACCAACGACACATGGACACTATTTGGGGAACAATTGAAACTCCAGGGCCGATTTTTTTCCCCTGTTCTCTATGTCATGAAGAGGTGGAGCCTTGGCCTCTTGTACCCTCCTGATAACTAACTAGTAAAGGAACTCCTGTTAACTCCTTTGCTCCAATTCTCTAGTTCAGAGTGACTATCGGGGCAGGGTGGGGCATGGCATGCAGAAATGGAACAGGAGCCTGAGGAATTGGGCTGAGTGATCAGAATGGTGAACACATTTTTAAATCATTAGTTTGGAAATTAATAGCTATCCTTCTCAAGGGAGTTCCATCAGAGCTTGGTCCAAATGTCACCTCCTCCTGGAAGCCTTCCTTCATGCTTCTATTAGAAAATATCACTCCTTCTTGTTGTTCTTGCACAAAATTCAAAATGCTTGATATTAGAAGGAGTTGTAAGAAGATGGAGAAAAATATTATGCACAAAAGTCTTCATAGGGAGACCAAAGGAATAAATAATTCGATAAGTCCTTTGGGATGAGGTAAGAAAGAAATAAGATCTCAAGGTGCGTGGAGGAGTAGCCCAAGACATTTCCTACCCTGACTTCTAAGCTGGGTGGGTCTAGTTTTGCAAAGAGAAGAAGAAGAAATATTTTGATGCGGTGGGGGCGGACCGGGAGCGGGTGAGAGAGCAGTGTGCTGCTTTGCATGACAAAGAAGAGAGGCATTTCTGCAAGAGAATCTGGAAAAGGAGGAAGGGAGCTAGTGAGGCTAGGGGTGGCTTCAAGGAAGTTGGAGGGCAGATTGGGGGGGAATTAGAACGTTCCTAGAGGTGAGCAAAGGAGGAGGAACTTTGAAGAACAGAAGTATCCAGACAGGTTTTTTAAGCTGGGGACTGTGGTGGGTACCATGTGCCCCTTTTTCTGTCTCCTCTGAGAAGCTTCCAGTAAAATTTCCATTGCTCACAAACACATTTGTGTGATGTGGAACTCTGAAGGGAAAGGATTTCTGTGTGCAGGCGGACACAGGCAAAAGCAGGGGAAACGCACGCAGACACAAACCCCAAGTTCAAGTGGCTTCTGGGTTCCATTTACCTGCACGCCTCTCCCAGTGGATGATAAATTCCTGGGCGGAAGGGGCCATTTCCACTGGTTTTAAAATCTTCACTTAGATGAATTAATGACCAAACCTGCAGGAAAACATCTGCAAGAAAAATTACGTCCTGAGAGTCAGAGAAACCTTTGTCAGTGACTCAATTCCTGGGCTTAACACATATTGTGACCATTATTATCATTATCAGTGGGCTCGTGAATACTAAGGAAAAGATCAGGCAGGTCCTAGCTGCTAAAGCTGGAGTGCCAATGTGGCTTTTAGTTTCTTTTTGAATTGTATGTGTTTATAGTAAACTGAGCTGTGTCCTTTGGTAATCTGCTCCCGCACTGACTCTGGACTGGCCTTGACTAACTTTGGCCAGTGGGACATTGGCAACCAGTCCCAAGAAAAGTACATTGTGGCTTAGTCCCTTGAAGCTCCTCAGAACCGCGTGACCGCCCCCCTGTGAACCAGCCTGGGCTAGGCTGCTGGATGATGGGAGGGGAGACACAGACAACTGCCAAGCAGCCGCCGTCACCCTAGTAGACATCAAGCCAACTGCTAGACATCAGGGGAAGGCCATCCTAGCCCTCTAGAGGCAGTCCAGACCAGAAGAATTGCCCTGCCATCCCAGAGAATTGCAAGAAAGATTGAATTTTTGTGCTTTCAGCCACTAAGTTTTGGGGTGGTTTATTACCTAGTAGAAACTGACTAATACACCGTCATCCTATTTTATTGATTAGGAAACCAAGGCTCAGAGAAGTGGAGAAAATTGCCCAAAGTCGAACTTCTAGTTAAATGGTGGAGCTGGGGTTTGAACCCGGGTCTGTCTGATACCAGCCTCTAGTCCTTATCCACATGGTCCTATGGCCTCCCTCCATCCAAAGGAGCTGAGCTTCAAGCCCAAGGCGAGAGCCGACCCATGGTGCTGGGGCCCCATGGTTAGAACAGGCTGGTGGCAGTGCCGACTTGAGGTGGAAGTGCGGGGTGTTTACCTAAAATCCCCGACCCCCAGGGTCTTTCAAACTTGTCTGCACATGAGAATCATCGGGGAGTTGAAAAAAAATCCTGATGCCCAGGCCACACTCCAGACCAAATAAGTCAGAATCTCTGAGGGTTAGAGTCAGTATTTTTTAAAACTCCCCCCCTCAATTCCAATGCACAGCCAGCCTTAAGAATTGGTGTTTTCAACTCCCCTAATCAGGGAGGGTGGAGGTTGGAGAAACTGGAGCGATTGAACCCAGGCATGTCTCCAAGGAAGTGAGGGAGGGGTCTCCTGAGGAAGCAGGATCAGGACAACAGCACTGTTGATTCAACAAATGTACAATACGCGCCAGGCACTGCCCTCGAAGATCACGGAAGTGACAGTTGCATAGATGCATAATTGCAATCACATTGCAACAAATACCATGCTTATATGTTCCAAGTCACAGCAGCAGCCTAGAAGAAGCAGCTACTCTTTTCAGTTGGATCCTAGAAAAGGTGACACTGGTGCTGAGTCTCGAAGGAGTGGTGAGGATGTCTCTGTGCATTAGTGCTGCCGTGAGTGGACCGGGCACTCCAGGAGGTAGGTGAAGCAGGGAGACTGGGCAGCCCTGGAAGCTGGGAGGATGCAGAGGGGACTTTAACTCTGAGAGGATGAAAGCAGGGTGGGTAGAGGGGAAATAACGACCCCTAAGACTCCATCCAAGCTCTGATCTTATGTATCTCTCAAGAGAGTGGGTACCCAAACTTCAAGCAGGGCTGGGCTCGCCAGTGGGGGCTAAATGGCCCCAGCAGAGAGTCAGCTGGTCATTATAATGAGGATGCTATTTGGACCTCTGTTCCTGGAAATTCCAAGTCCTGACCCCATAGCAATAGCTCCTGGACCTTCTGGCACTTTCCTTCTCAATGTGCAGTCACAGACCAACAACATCGGCATCAGCTGGGGGCTTCCTAGAAGTGCAGAATCTTGGGATCCACCCAAACTTATTGAATCAGAACCTGCATTTTTACAAGAGCCCTGGATAATTTCTAGGCGCCTTAAAGTTTAAGAAGCACTGTTCTAGTACCTTCTAGCCCCCAGCGGGATGAGTGTGTTCCAGGTCAGTACATGCTCTAGAACCTAGGGTGCCCCTTGTATGTTAAGCCACGTCAGCCCCGGTTTGGGGGATAGCAGCCCACAGAAGTGGTCAGCCAGGCCACACAGGGGCATATTAGAGGACAGAAAAATGTATATGTAGGACACAAGGTCAAGAGCAGGGAGCTTGAATCAGGAACAAAGGGGATTTGAGGTCAAGAGTAGAACTCCTGACCCCTCCTCTATTCCGTCTTTGGACCTCTTTATCAAATAGTGTTTGCAATTCATAAATGTGGGCACAGTCAGCAAAAATGCAACTACGATCTGCCTTCAGCCACCTTTTCCTCTCCCTCATTCATGAGATTCAAAGATTTATGGATTTAAAGGCAAGCTTGGGTCGCTGGAGCCTTGCTCTGCCAGGTCTCAGGTGGTCAAGGGGTCCCGGCAGATCCACATCCTCCCCTCCATGAGCCCTGGAGCGCTCAGCCGAGAGCCGGCCAAGGGCAGAGCCACCACGCACTGAGGCAGACAGAGGTCCCTGGGTACACGCTGATCATCCTGCTTGCTAATGACTTTTCCCCTTCTCGATGACCTCTTTGCTTCAGAATCCCCAGCAAGCTGCATTCCTGACTGGAGATGTCAAGGGGACCTCATGTGAACTGCCAGCCACCGATTCGCTTATGAGGTTGGAGGAAATAGCTGGGAGGCTGCCCTCACCTTCCAGCCTGGAACTGGGCTGAGGGAAGTTCCATTGCTCGCTCACAGGCCACCCGCCTGGCTCTGGGATGGCTTTGGCAAACTTTGCTCCTGGCAGGCTGGACCCACAGGAACCCTGTCATTTCTGAGCTTGTGTCAGAGCGTGTGGCGGAAAAAGGCTCTGTGGCCACAGGGCAAGCCAAGGCCAATGAGATGGCCCTGCATGATGAAGGGAAAGGGACCCAGTCCACAGTGGACCTCAGGGGCTTGGGAGTCAGAATTTCTGGGCCCTGAAATTATCCTTTTCAGGCATTGGGAGGTGTCAATTCTGAGGATCACGAGAGGGACTGTGGGGTCAATGGTGACCTCCAAACCCAACCACAAGAATTTGGCTCAGTGACACGAGTTGAACTGACAATCCAGCTCAGCACCACCTCCTCCAGGAAGGCCTCTCTGGTTCACCCCACTAGCTTCTCTACTGGGGGCTGCTGCTGAGACTCCTAGTCTAAGAAAGGACAATTCTCTGCTAAACTCTTCCCACTGCTAAATTCTTCCTGCAAGCTTTTATTGAAGTTTAGGGCAACAGAAGCACAAGCCAGAGAGAGCTTTATGACAATGGCTTGAGCTTAGAGTCCGCACCTCCCTGGCAGAACTCCAGGTAACATGGGACCATGGCACTCCTGTTCCCAAAGTGGTGCCAGCGACCATGAACCTCCTCCAGAATGGCACTTCCCAGGCATCTTCTCCCATCACAGTACCGTCCACAGTACTGCCCTTTGGTCCCTGAGGGGAGAGCAAAGTTTCCTGCTGCTTGGACGAAGACCCTGGCCTTTTCCTGCCCAAAACGATTGGCAATGGGAGTATCGATTGCCTGTAGGAGAAAGCCCATTGATCAACTGACCCATCGATCCATTGCGCAATTGACCTATTGCTCACAAGAGAAACCCCATCCCACCCACTGCGGTCTTGTCCCCCTACCTCCTAGAAGACACAGCCTGGGCTTCCAAAGCCCGCGTTTGTCTGTCTTAAATTATCCCCCATGGAGGCCTCACCATCGTGGCCCTGGCCAGGTGCTGGTGGGGGTTTCCGTCTAGCGTTAGGGGCAGAGAAAATCAGACTCTCTGCCCTCCAGCCACAGCTGCCTCCCAATTGCCTGTGACCAAACGTAGGACAAGGGATACGCAGGTCCCAAAACAAGCAACCATTTTCAGTTGTGAGCTCCATAAATATGGACTGAGGAAGAAAAGTGTTCTCTAACTCAGCAAGGATACCGTGCTGGGAGCATGACATTACTACCACATAGGTTATCATTGCATAATAAATAGGACGTACTTCTCAGTCTGTGCTTCAGTGACATCATGCTGTTGGGGCCTCCCAGGGGTGGTGAGCACTCTCATGAGGACTAAGAGGTCCCCCAAGTCCTCCTTCTCAGTAGGAATGGAGAATGTGCCCCACCAACAAAATGTTTCCTCTAGCCTACAACTTCCTACGCCCTGGCAGGTGTCCCAGCTTCAGTAATTTAACAGCCACCAGTACTTGTTACAAACATGTAACAAATATGCACTCTGCCCCAGGACAAAGCTGGGCGCTTTGCATAAAGGTATTATTTGATTCTCACAGCAATCCTGGGAAGTAGCTCCTATTAGAGGAGGAAACTGAGGTTCAGAGAGGTTAAGTGTATTGTCCAAAGTCCCACAGTGAGCGGCTGAGGCAGGACTCAAACCCTTGTCAGAATCCGTGCCCATTCTCTCAGCCATCAGGCGGTACAACCTCCAAAATGGGGCGACATCACCACATGCAGGAGAACTAAGAATGAGAAACTGTCTCCAACTATACGCCGAGTCCTACCAGATGCTGAGCTGGAAGGGAGGGGAATAAAAGATGGGTCCGTAATGGTCCTTACCTTCAAGAAGCCCACATTCCAATTAGGAGGCAAGATGGATTCAAACCCCACAATGTGCCACAATGAGATGATAAGCTGTGTAGTCCTGATTATCAGAAAAGGGATAAATCGTAAATTAAAAGACTCAGGGAAGAATCAGGGAGGGCTGCGTGAAGGAGGTGCAACTTAAAGTGGACTGTGTGGGGTTGAGAGTGGGAGGAAGAAGAAAGAAGAGTATTCTAGACAGGAAGAGCATCAAGAACAAAACCCTTGAGAGGAGAATGAGCTTGGTATTTTTATGAGTCAGGGAGTCAGTCCGCCAACCAGTCTAGGGGTGCGGAGAGAGAACGTGCAGGAAGGAAGTTAGCCTATGCAGGGCACTGTCTGGCAAAAGGTTGATTTGGATATGGGAGCACTGGGGAGCCATTGTGGGTTCTGGAGTGAGTGCTCATGTGATAAAAGGAGTGAGTAAGTAAGATGGGGATCCCTGCTCCCCAGCTTCTTGAATTATGATCGTAGTTGAGAGGTAACCCCTCCGGCTACAGATTGGAGACTGCCCCAGAGAGCGCTCAGGGTGCCTTAAATCTGGGGGCCCCTGAGGCCTTACACGGGTCTTTCTCAGCAGGGCTCCAGAACCTGTGAGAGCTGTCTGCAAGTGAGAGGGGTCAGGCTGAGAAGAGGCATTCGGGGAATGGGGTGGTTCAGTTATGCATACCTGCTCCCTAGATGGAGAGGTGAGGAGGAGAGAGCGCTGACATGTGCATATTAATATAGAGATATTGTATATATATGTGTGTGTGTGTGTATGCTCACATATACATCTCCCAGGGGACAACACTTCAGCTAAGCCAGCAAGCAGTGGAAACTGTGCATAAGCTACCTGAAGCACTTTGATGTGCCTCTAAACTATTTTGGCATCAAAGCCTGATGGACCATATGGAAAGAAAAAAGTGCCAAAAAAGAGAGGCTTATACTGAAAGAAACCAGGAGCCTGGCCTGATGGGCCCGACGTGGACCAGAGATGAGCCGGACTTTCTGTAGAGAAAGTGGGACGTCCCAGGGAAGCAGCTTCACTGGGTTGCAACAACGTTATGTGCCTAATGAGTCGTCCTAAAAATTACAGGCTGAGGTGGTCAAGACCCTTGGCTTAAGTGACGGGAATCCAAATCCAAATTCAAAGCAGTTCAAGCAAAAGGGAAATACGCTGGCTCAAGTATTAGAGTCATTTGGTTTCAGGCACAGCTGAATCCAGGGTACTCTTGCGATATAAGCAGGACTCTCTCTGGTCAGCTCTCAGCTTTGCTTTCGCCTGTGTGGCCTCATTTTCTGGCACTATTTTTCCGTGTTGTAGCAAAAGGGATGCCCGCCAGCTCCAGCCAAGGTCCTTCGGAAGGAGGGAGATTCTGCCTCTTCCATGGCTCGTTTTGGTCTTCTGCCCATCCCTGGACCGATCACTGTGTCCTGTGAATGGCACACTCTGGTTGGCCAGCCCAAGTTTCATGACCATTCATGTGGTGGGGGAGGCCTGGACCTTGATTGACAGCTCATCAGAATCCCAAAGTGCTGGGAAGAAAGAAAGTCCCCAAAAGGGAAAGTGCGGGGCAGAAAAAAAGAATCAGATATTCATGACAGTGCAATGGAAGTTGCGAGTCCAGAGACAGTGGTCCTGAAAGCACGAGCGTTGGAAGAAGACAGTGAGGTGTCAGGCAGAGGGAAGGCTTGGGCAAAGACATTAGAGGGAGTCCTGTTCCAAAAAGATTTCCACCAATCTGGCTATATTCAAACGTTAATTTTTCTCTCTTTTTCCTTTTTTATGCTGATAAGTAAATGAAAAGGAATAGGATATATTGGAGGATATGAGGAAGCCATTTGGTGTAAAACTAATTCAGCCTGACCTTGTTATTCCAAGAGGGCCCAAAAGCGCCTGTTG